GAGATATTGTGTCTGACAACTCACGTTTGGCTCGCTTTGTGAGGGTTTTTCCCTAAGACATCTTCTTGGCTCCGTGAATACTTTCAGTTCTTGATTTTGGATAGGGAGAATTCAGACAAGGTTACCCGAGAAAAGAAAAAAAAAAACCAAACATCTGTTTCAGATTTATTGGGTGAGGCTGAATGATACCAGCTCTGTGTCAAAGGGAGCATCCAAAAATATCTGTTTGATTCATTGCGGAGGAATACTTGTAATTATAACAGCAATGCACTTTGGGTACTGATACCCTGTCTGACGAATAATAAAAACCCAGAGACAGGTATTGGGGTTCAAGATGAAGATCAGAAAAACAGCCAAGCCACTATAGAAATCTTATCTCTATGACTGCAGACTGAGCTCTGAACATCGGTCTCCTCCCCTTTAGTGCTGGGATTATATTCCCCTTTAGTGCTGGGATTAAAGGTGTGTGATTTACTAGTACTGGGATTAAAGGTGTGAGCCACCACTGCCTGGATCTGTTTCTGCTTTAATCTTTGGTAGTCCAGGGTGACCTTGAACTCACAGAGATCCATCTGCCACTGTCTCCGAAATCCTGGGGTTAAAGGTGTGTGACACCACTGCCTAGCCTCTAGTGACTTAATTTTACCTTCTGATCTTCAGGCAAGCTTTGTTTATTCATTCATTTGTTTATACAGATAAAGTATCACTATAATACCCAGCCAGTTACTGTATCCTAGCAAGCTTGGATTAAGTCAGTTGCTTGCGATAACTCTGTGAGTATCTGTTTCTGTTTTATAATTTTGTTTTGAGACAGGGTCTCTCTATGTAATCCTGGCTGTCCTGGAACTCAATATATAGACCAGGCTGGCCTCGAACTCATAGAGAGCTTCCTGCCTCTGCCTCCTTGGTTCTGGGAATAAAGGTCACCTATGCCTGGCAACTGTTTTGTAAGTTATCATTGAGGAGTTCTCCAAGTTCCTATAATGTTCCCTTCACAACCTCAGTTTCCCTGTTTAACAGATGAGGACATTGAGGCCCAGAAAAGTGGTTTTTCTAAACAGTCACATGGCCAGTAAGTGACAGAGTTAAGTCCCTGACTCACCGTTTGCTCTCTGTACAGCATGCATGTGTGTTTAGAGGTCAGACCTAGGTTTGTTCAGATTGTGGGACTAGGGCTATAGCCAGTGGCAGAATGCTTGCTTAGCATGCACAAATGAAAAAAAATCCCGAGTGGGGCAATGATGTGTGTGTGGAACTCAGTCCCACTTGTTTACTTGGCCCAGGAATCATTGTCTATTTCCCCCTTTTTTTAAACTAGTCTGCTTCTGTGGATTTATTTTTATTTATGTACATGTATCTGTGTCCATATATGTAACATGCATACTGGTACCCCCAGAGGTCAAAAGAGGGCGTTGGTTCCACTCGAGCTAGATATGGATACTGAAAATCAAACGCCAGTCCTCAGTTCTCTAGAAGAGGAGCAAGCACTCCTTTTTTCTTTTAAGATTTATTTATTTTTATATACTTTGGTGTATTGACTGCATGTGTGTCTGTGTGAAGGTGTCCTCAGGTCCTCTGGAGTTGGAGTTACAGACAGTTGTGAGCTGCCATGTGGCTGCTGGGAATTGAACCTGGGTCCTTTGGAAGAATAATAGCCAGTGTTCTTAGCCCTGAGCCATCTCTACAGCCCCTCAGCAAGCGCTCTTAACCACTAAGACATCTCTCAAGCCTCAGATTTATTGTTCTTTAAAAAACAAGCAAGCAAACAAACAAACAGACAAAATTGTTGGGGCTGGAGAGATGTCTCAGCAATTAAAAACATTAGCTGCCCTTCCAGAGGAACTGATTTGAATTCTCAACACTCACATGATGGTTTACAACCATCTGTTGCTCCGGTCTTGGGACCTGTTACCCTCTTCTGGCCTCCACAGGCACTGCAGGCACATGGTTTCTAGACATACGTTCGGGCCGACATCAGTGGCCTTTAATCCCAGGATTTGGGAGGCAGACACAGGTGGATTTCTATGAGTTTGAGGCCAGTGTGGCGTACACAGCGAGTTCCAGGACACTCGGAGCTATATAGTGAAACCCTGTTTCAAAAACAAAACGAAAGTAAGTAAATAAATAAAATCTTAACTTTTTTGAAACAGGGTTTCTCTGTGTAACTCTGGCTATCCTAGAAATCACTCTGTAGATCAGGCTGGCCTCGAACTCAGAGATCCGCCTGCCTCGGCCTCCTGAGTGCTTGGATTAAAGGCATGCGCCACCAACCACCTGGCCAAATTTTAAGATTTCTTGAAAGATTTATTTTATTTTATTTTTTGGTTGTTATTTGTTTTTTTGAGACAGAGTTTCTCTGTGTAAGAGCTCTAGCTGTCCTGGAACTAGCTCTTGTAGACCAGGCTGGTCTTGAACTCACAGAGATCTTCCTGCTTCTGCCTCCCTGAGTGCTGTAATTAAAGGTGTGCACCACCACTGCCCAGCAAAAGATTTTATTTTTAACCCTGTGTGTGTGTGTTCAAGTACATGTGCACAGGTGCCCCCAGAAGGTAGAGGTATTAGACCCCTGGAACTGGAGTTATAGGGGGTTATGAGCCACATAACATGGGTGCTCAGAATTGAACTCAGGTCCTCTGGAAGAGCAGTATATATGCTTAACTATTGAGCCATCTGTCCAACTCCAAATTTCTTGTTCTTGCGAAGGGTTGTTAATGATTTGGTGTGAGTTACATGTACTATGAAATGCTTCTAAAGTTCATTTGATCGCTGTTGTCTGTTTTGCTCATTTTATGGATGAGGTAACAGTTTTTGCCCTCCATTTTATGGTAACCTAAACTCCAAGGCTCCATCTGCATTATTAGCCAATTTTTCTCATTTCTCTTGTCCCTGATTATAGACATGTGTTTTCCCGCCATGTCTGCTGATCTACAAGATGGGGAAGGGAGGCCATGGCCAGGATGATAGTCCCCAGAAGTATTCACCTAGCTGCTCCTGTGCCTGCTGCTCGCCTCCACCAGTACATCAAAGGAGAGCGAAGTGGGAAGGAAACAGCAGGGCACTTTGTTTTTTTTTGTTTTTTTTTTCAAGACAGGGTTTCTCTGTGGCTTCTCGAACTCACAGAGATCCGCCTGCCTCTGCCTCCTGAGTGCTGGGATTAAAGGCGTTTGCCACCACCGCCCGGCTTCAGCAGGGCACTTTGTGGTGTGTTATGATCCAGCTGCCCTCACTCCCCCTGACTGACAGCAGAACTTCCTTGTGGTCTGTAATTGACAAGGATGCTTGTGTTCTTTCTGGCTGTTGGTTTTCCACAGAAGCAGTAGAGGTATAAAAGGCTTTAGTTCAGGACAAAATAAAGGTTGCTGTTCTTCCACCTGAAAAGAGGCCTCCATGTGTCAATCCCGGCACAACAGTCCCCCCCCCCCCGCCCCCCGTGCACGCCATAAATTTCACAACCAGGAAGAAAGGTGTGTAGGAAGCCCTAATAGCATGGGACTGAGGGAATCCTTCTCTAAGTTCTTCTTAGCCTTCTGTAAGGAATCTGGGTTAGGTTTGGGTTCTGCAGTCACAAAGCAGATCATGTTACCTGGAGTAGAAGATGTTTGGAATGTGCCCAGGATGGGCTTAGAATGTGCCCAGGTAGGGTTGTGTTGAGGGACATCATAGGGACTCAATTTCCTTGTCTACCATAAAGCTTCGCTTCAGGCCACAAATGTTAAGCAGGAGGAATTGGGAAGAATATGCTAGGATACAGAAGTCTGAGCTGTCTGTCTGTCCCTCTGCCTTTGGGAGCAGCCACAGGCCACCTCTAGCCCAGGGTCCAACTCTAGCATTCTGATTCTAAACTCCTTCTCACACTGATTTTGTTTCGTTTCGTTTTGTTCTGGAACATGCTCTGTAGACCAGGCTAGCCTCAAACTTGCAGAGATCAGCCTGCTCCTGCCTCCCAAGTGCTAGGATCAAAGGTGTGCGTCACCATGCCCACCTTGTTGTTTTTCCAAGACAGGGTTTCTCTGTGTAACAGTTCTGGCTGTTCTGGAACTCACTCTGTAGACCAGGCTGGCTTCAAACTCACGGAGATCCCCCTGCCTCTGCCTCCGAGTGCTGGGATTAAAGGTGTGCACCCCCACTTCCTGGCTCCTTATGTTTTACATCATCATGTTCTTAGGCAGGCCTTTTCACCTTGCCAAGGCCCAACTTCCCATGCCTTGTTCAGACAAGGCTCTTTCTGTGCCATCTCTCAGGTTTGTAGAGCAGAAACCAGGATTATTTCTTCCTGGACTATGGAAGATGGTGGCTTGGGATCTGGTCCTCCTTAGAAAGATTAGCTTCTGCTGGGCAGTGGTAGCACATGTCCTCTTCCATCCCAGCACTTGGTAGGCAGAGGCAGGTGAATCTCTGAGTTCAAGGCCAGCATGGTCTACGGAGTGAGGTCCAGGACAGCCAGGGCCACAAAGAGAAACTCTGTTAACTTCTCTCTGCAGCTTAGAAAACCATTAACCTAATTATGGGAAAAGTTTTCCCCAAGACCTTCTTTTATCCCTGCATTGCTCTGGGAGGGAAGGATAAGAGTCTGGAGAGGTAATGCACCCTGCTCAGAGTAAAAAAAAAAAACAAAAAAACAGGTGTGTGTGTGTGTGTGTGTGTGTGTGTACGTGTGTGTACGTGTGTCCCTTTCAGCTTCCTAGCCCCCATTCCCCTAGGTGCTACCTTGTATAGGCAGGCACCAGTGGCCTGGGGATCTCTGCAGCAGTAGAGGCAGGAGAAGCAGTGGCTGGCTGCTCCTACAGCTCTTAGTGCTTCTTCCCCAGTTCTTTCTTAGGTGTCTGCAGTGAGGAGAGAGTTCTGTGCTTTCTTCTTGGCCCTGTTGGGCTCCCTGAGTGAGGCACCTGGTCCCAGACACTGCTTCCCCAGGAGCCCTGGAAGCCGGCAGGTAAGGGTTAAAAGATATGGGCCAGCCCAGTTCCTGTCCAGGTAGGCTGGGCCTTACCTAGTGGGAGGCAGCCAAGGCAGCAGTCACTGCTGTTCTCTTCTACTGCCAGGAGAGCTAGGGCCTGGACAAGACAACTGTGCTTTTTGAGCTGTTCGAGGCTGTCATACAGCACTCTGGCATTGGTGAGTACCTTGGAGCAATGGGCCAGGGGTGTGAGACTGTGAAGGCGCAGGGATTGAAGGCTGGGGTGCAGTGTACTGAAGTGATCTTCCAGAGAACCTGGTCAGGCAGGAGAAGTCCATCGACAATAAAGGGTTGCGATACGGGGGGGGGGGGCAGCAATGTTCGGTACAGGAGGAGCCGGGGAGCAGGGCAAATTCCCACATGTCCATTCTCCTTTCTTGATAGAGAGCAATTTTGGGTTGGAAATGGAGGAAGAGGGATGGAGCAAAGAGACTCAGCCCCCTCTTCTCTGCCCCATCCCTCCCACTTTTCAGAGTGGCCTCTTTATCAGGGCTAGTGCCTCCGAAAAGGCCAACTGAACTATTTAGAAACCATGTTGTTCAGGCTCTGTTTCTCCCTCTATTTGTTCACCCAGACTGATGGAAAGGGGTGTGCTGTGGGGGGGGGAGCATTGGGGAGCAGTCCAGGCTTTGCGTGTGTATTTGTTCAAGTGGTGGCAGGATGTGGAACTGGGGGCTCTCATTGACAGTGTTGGAGTGCCACCCAGGTGAAGTATCTTGGTTGTAAACAGTCATTACAGCCAGGAATTTTTCTCAGCTATGGTGTCAGAAGGGCAGACCTGAAAAACCTGCTGGGCCTGCCTCTGGGTGTGTGTGTGTGTGTGTGTCCCCGCATGTGCCCTCCGTGACTCTCATACTACAGTCTGTCCCAGCAACAGGACACAGAATGACAAGGCCCTGGGGTGGATAGGAGGGTCTCGGAGGCCTGTGTGAGGGTGCGCTAGTGACGCAGGGGTGGCGGTGACGCAGGGGTGGCAGCGGACTGCTTTCTCACTATCTTATCTTGTGGGAGGCAGCCCTAAGTCCCAAGGCAAGTGTGCAGAGCACAGCACAGTAGAAGCAAAGGTTCCTGAGTCAGGTATGGAGGTGTGGGGCGTTGACCCGAGTCTAGCCTGCCCAGTGACCCAATGACTCATGCCCTAGCTATGTCCCTGAGGACAGGCTGACAGGGTGGAGTCGGGGTTCCTGTCTGGACCCTGTGTTGACGTCCACGATGCTCTGATCTAAAGAAGGAAGCATTGAGGCACTCGAATGAGGAGCATGAGACTGATGGTGGCGAACGGGGTGAATGGACCCAGAGGTCAGGGGAGTTGGGTTTCTGTTGCGGTGGAAAGGGGTTCAGGCCAGCCTTGTGAAAAGTTTTCCAAACGAAAATGGGACCTGGGATGAAGTAATAAGGGCGGCGGGGCTGCGTTCTCAGCACCCCGGCCGCCCGCTCGGCTAGCTTATGCCCCAAAATAATTACACAGACACTGTATTCTTTTAATCACTGCTTGGCCCTTTAGCCCTAGCCCTTACTGGCTAATTCTCACATCCCGATCAACCCATCTCTAATAATCTGTGAGAACCGGTCTTACCGGGAAGATTCTCTAGCCTATGTCCATCCTGGGTCGGAGCTTCATCCCGGGAGCGGGGCCTGGCGTCTCTCTCTGAGGCGTCTGCTCCCGAGAGAGCTGTGGAGTCTCTGACCTCACTTCCTCTTCCTCCCAGCGTCCTATTCTGTTTTCTCCTCCCACCTATCTTCTAACCAATAAAATGGGCCAGGGCAGTGCCTTTATTAGCCAATGACCTTCCTCCATCATTTCCCCTTTTTCGGTTTAAACAAAAAAAAAAAAAAAAGGCTTTAACATAGCAAAATTACATATAACAGTTATCAAGTAAAAGTTACAATAATCTTTATCATAACTACGGAAAACTATAACTATAACTAACTATTCTTAACTCCATCAAAGACTCCAGAAAGATATAATATTGCCTAAGTAAACAAGAACTAAGAAACTTCAAACTCTAGAAATGACAAAGACATCTCGCTGCCTAGACAGTCACCCAAAGTTCTTTTGTACCGTTGGGGCATCCATCTTCAGCCTTCAGGCCCATGGTATCCAGCAGACATTTCCATAAAGCAGGAAAATTCAAAGTCAGTTCAGTCACTATCTGTTGTGTCCTGCAGAATATCTCGCAGACTCTTTCAAAATGAATCAGGAACCCCGAAAGATCATCTCACCTTAGGCAAGTTCAGTAGTCCTCTCTCTGCGGGTTCTCTGTGTCCAGTTTATGCAATAGTCCAGGCAAGAGCAGTTTCTTGCCCAAATGGCTATCAAAACTCCATAACGAGCCTCTTCGATGCCCATCTTCCTCTTGAAGTAGATTGGTGCTGCCAGGAGCAGAGTGTCTCATTGTCATGAAAAGTCCTCAGTTATTAAAACATTAAATGTCCTATTCTGTAATCTTTGAAAGACATGAAGAATGTCTATCTAAAATATATCTCTATATATCTAGAAAATCTAACTAACATGACTACAAGCTTTACTATTATCAATGATTATCCATTAACAGCCTATATTTCTTAATTATACAGTACATATTTAAATGAACTACACAATCACAATACCTTAATCAAAATCAGAAACACTTATATATATATAACAAAATTGACCTTAAATTCCTATCAATAAAGCAAAATCTATACTAATGTAAATTATTCATATCTATATCATATCCCCCTTTAAATGTAAAAGAACGTTTATAAACCATATTTGGGAACATGGGCGCAGTTTTTTCTCTCCAAACTGCTTCCTGCTGAATGGGGGCGTCGTTAATTAGGTCTTTCATGGTATAACCTGTGTGCTAGTTTCATCTCAGTTGGCAGTTGAGCAAAGCAATTTTTTGAAGGCGTGCACAGGAACCATTCAGGAGGGCGTGGTCCATCATACCAAATCGAAATAGAAGAAGTGAACAGCATCTCATCCTCTGTGAAAACAAAATAAGATACTCCTTTCCAAAGTATCATATCCTTAGATCCAAATTTACAATATCTATGTTGGATTAGTTCAGAAGCATTTATAAACAAATATCTTTTAGTAGCTTTTGCTCTTTCCTCAGCATTCAAATAATTCAAAGAGAGCATAATAGCATACAGTATCAAAATTATCTGTGTATTTTCCATCTTTGTGCACTTTGTTTTAACCTCTATTTTGTTTATTTTTACTTTTAACTCTTTGCTTTTTGAGACAGGTTCTCTGTATCTTTGACCTGAAGTAACTCTGTAGACCAGGCTGTCTTTGAACTCTCAGAGATCCACCTGTCTCTGCCTCCCAGGCATTGGGATTAAAGGTGTATGCTACTACACCTTGAACTCACAGAGATCTGTTTGCCTCTGCCTTCTAGGCACTGGGATTAAAGGCGTGTGCTACCACACACAACAACTCTCTTCCTTTTTTTGTTTTTTACTTTAAGAACTTCAACTTTTAGTCTGCATATATTTTTAACACACTTTAAACCATTTAGAAATTTTCTCTGTCTTTGAATCTCTCTTTACTGTATATCTCTCTTTTTCTGACCACATGAATCTTTAATTTACTGAGCAATATGGGTAGGATTAAAGGCGTGGCTTTGTCAGCTAGATCCAGTCCATTCCTTAGCTTTCCAGCCTCAAGGCTGAGGTACTGGCTGTAGCCAGCAAGCGAGCTACAACAGACAACACTCAAGTCCTCTCTCAGTAGCCGGCCCTCCTGCCTCAAATAGTCAGAGTTTGACCTGGCAGGACGGCCCAGAAAGCCGGCATTTTTAAATGGCGCAGCTTTTTTCCTGTTATGGCTGAAAACCGAAAAGCATGTGTTCAGCTTTTGGTCAACATTGTTTAAGTGTTTCGTGGCAGGACCTCTTAATGAGCTGCAGGCTTTGCAACTAAAGCTGAGTCAGGAAGCCTCTCTTAGATGAGGCGCTTGCTTGCCTCTGGCAAGCAGAGTAGACCCGAGAAATTGCTGCTACCAAGAAACCAGGCACAATGCTTTCATTTTGTTCTAGAATTACTTCCCAAGTTGTCTCAGGCTTTGTGTGGAAGCAGTTGTCCACGTGGGCGCCATATGAAGTAATAAGGGCGGCGGGGCTGCGTTCTCAGCACCCCGGCCGCCCGCTCGGCTAGCTTATGCCCCAAAATAATTACACAGACACTGTATTCTTTTAATCACTGCTTGGCCCTTTAGCCCTAGCCCTTACTGGCTAATTCTCACATCCCGATCAACCCATCTCTAATAATCTGTGAGAACCGGTCTTACCGGGAAGATTCTCTAGCCTATGTCCATCCTGGGTCGGAGCTTCATCCCGGGAGCGGGGCCTGGCGTCTCTCTCTGAGGCGTCTGCTCCCGAGAGAGCTGTGGAGTCTCTGACCTCACTTCCTCTTCCTCCCAGCGTCCTATTCTGTTTTCTCCTCCCACCTATCTTCTAACCAATAAAATGGGCCAGGGCAGTGCCTTTATTAGCCAATGACCTTCCTCCATCACTGGGAAAAGTAGGAGTTCTAGGAACTGAGGGACAGAGGAAACTGGGACATCAAAGAACCCCTGCCGTACTGAACCTCTGCACTGCATAGTGTCTGGATTTGGGGATTGTCTCACGTTGATGTTGAGGATAGTCCATGAGTCCTTTGAGGGAGGGTCACAGACCCTGTGGGACAGCCAGGAAGACAACAGATAAACTGGGGGGACCTTGTAGGCAGTTTGATTATACCCTACAGTGTGAACGTGGGGAAGGAGCTTAGAGCCAGGCTTCCTTGCTTGTCTGGGTCTTTTCTAGAACATCATGACAAGCTGTGAAATTCAAGGTAGGTTAAAATGGGAACTCTGGCCGGGCGATGGTGGCGCACGCCTTTAATCCCAGCACTCGGGAGGCAGAAGCAGGCGGATCTCTGTGAGTTCGAGACCAGCCTGGTCTACAGAGCTAGTTCCAGGACAGACTCCAAAGCCACAGAGAAACCCTGTCTCGAAAAACCAAAAAAAAAAAATGGGAACTCTGCTGTCTCCATTAGGCCTTCCCAGTTACCTACCTTGGAGGTTAGCACAGGTGGTGGGAGGTGATGTCACCTGGTTGCCCAGCGGGGGACCAAGCAGGATGTGGGAGGGAGGGAGCAAACTCCAAAGAAGCAGAAGGAGGGCTGGCAGCTAGCCAAAGCAGGCTCCATGGCCATCCAGGCCTTCTAGGGACAGAAAAGGGCAGATAATGGGTTACCCATGGCTGTGGATGGCTTTTCTCACCCATCCCAGCAGGATAACTTCCGTGCTAGTTTCAGAAGAGGGTGGGAGGGAGGAGGAGCTGGAGGGACCCTGGAGTCAAGGGACAGTCCTTGCTACATCAGGGCAGCAGGGTGGAATTAGAACGTGTACAGAGCCAGATGGGTCTAGATACCTGGCTCGGCTCTCTTGCATTTGTTCACTTGGTTACTTGTTCAGCCAGCTGGCGTACATTTGTGGGCTACTTGCTGTGTGCAGCAGCATTTGGGGTGCTGGAGCTACTGATTCCCTGGGGCAAACCTGCTCCCTGTCCAAATGGCAGTACAGGGAGGCCCAGGCTCTTGTTCAGCGGCAGCTGGGAGAGAGTGGCACTCAGGAACCACCTCTAAAAGCGGCAGCTAAGCCCCAGAATGAGCTGGGTATGGTAGTGCCTGCCTGTAATCCCAGCATGTGGCAGACTGAGGCAGGAGGATCGCTGTGAGTTCAAGAGCAGCTTGAACACAGTTACTTTCAGGCTAGCCTAGTCTACAGAGTGAGACTGTGTGCTGAAATTCAAACAGCTCCAAAATAAGTGAGAAGCAAGGTTCCGCTGGTGAGAGGCTGGAACCGGTGCCCTAGACTGTGGCCACAGGCTGGGCAAAGGCCCTTCTGCCTGATGGATGGACCGAGGTGCTCAAGAGGCAAATGGCAGGATTGGAGCTGCTGTCTTGAGGAATTGTATAGAACCAGAGGGGTTGTCCTATGTGAAGCCCTTTACTGGGCAATTATTTCAGCTCTCTGTGCTTTCCACCCCTCATCTCCTAAGGAAAGGTAATAATGACGGAGCTCCTGCCTGAGGGGTTTCAAAGATTCATTGTGACAGAGCAGATAACTGTTCCAGGCACCCAAGGCTGAATACGTGCTCGCGGTTGGTATACTCAATTGAACCTGTACCATTAATTCTCTCCCTAGGTGAGATTCCTGGCTGTGGCCTATGGGCCTCTGAGGAGGCATTGTAAGTCTGCCCAGCTTCCCACTCACTGTGTCAGCACTCAATGGGAAGGGAACCAAGGTACCAGGCCAAGTGGGTCCAGACATTGACACAGATTCTGAGTGGGCAGGCCAGGTAGGTGGGTGGGGCCCGGGGTACTTTCTGTTCCTAGCTGGAAGATAGGAAGTAGGACCGGCCTTGGGACTGGGGGTGTCGTGGGATATGCCTCCTTAATGTCTTCTGTGCTGCGTCACTGCCAGGCTTTGTCCAGCCACCAGCCACAGCCTCCAGACAGTACAAGGATGGAAGTCAAAGGTCAGCTGATCAGCTCCCCTACCTTCAATGCCCCAGGTCAGCGGCTGCCTCCACTTCCTGCTGTCCCCTCCCTACCCCGAGTCTCCATGTGCCTGCTTGGGAAGGGTTGGTCCCTGTCCCCACACTTGCTCCAAGATGTCCTGCTTGTCTTCATCTTTGCTCCCTCCCCCTGCGCAGCTGCCCTGTTTGGAGAGGCTGCCCCCCAGGTGAAGTCAGAGCGTCTTCGAGGGCTGCTTGACCGCCAGCGGGCCCTGCAAGAGGCTCTGAGCCTGAAGCTTCAAGAGCTCAGAAAAGTCTGTCTGCAGGAGGTGGTGAGGGCCTCACCCCAGGGCTATTAGGTGGGGGTGGGGGTGAGGAGGTGGGAGGTAGGTGGGATACGGTGAGGAGCAAGGGTGCCTAGGCACGCAGACTACTGTGATGGGTGCCTAACCAATTGTCTGGGAATTAGGAGTTTTCTTGTCACCCTGTGTGTCCTCATAGTTTGACTTAGATGTCACAGTATCAGTGAAATATGCCAATGCTGATCCATAGTCACTTGTCAATAATTTTAAACCTCCCCTCCCCAAAGTGAATGAAAACTGTTTCCAAAATTAGGCAACAGAGCTCATCCTGAACTGACGCAGGGTGAATTATTGTTCTCTTTTCTCCACTAGCCCATCTAATCCATCTGTTCATCTGTTTTCTGAGACAGGGTCTCACTCTGTAGCTCTGTAGCCTAGGGTAGTCTCTAGCTCATGCGCTAGCCTCCCAAGAACTGGAATTTCTAGGCATGATGTACCACAGCTGGCTATAGCTCTGATTTTCCCTTCGCAGTGTGAGTGTCCACACGCTTTTCCTGAAGGAATAGTAGGGCTCAGGGGATGGGGAATTGCTCAGTTGACCATGTAAGCAGAAGGGTCCGAGTTCAACCCTCAGAAACTATGGAAAAAGAATGGCCGGGCATGGCGGCCAGCACTTGCAGTCCTGTGCTGGAGAAGCGGAGACCAGATGGCTTCCCTGGAGCGTTCTGACTAGCCAGGCTATCCTAATCAGCAAGTCCCAAGCCAGTGAGAAAGAAACCTTGTCTCAAAAAAAAAAAGTAGATAGTATCCTGAGTAACAACATCATCCAAGATTGGCCTCTGGCCTACACATACGCACAGCTACAGGCGTAGGCGCACGCACACGCGCACGCACACACACGCACTCTAATGGGATTCAGAAGACCAGTCCCTGTGTTATATGTGCAGCATATAGAGTGGGCTTTTATAATTATAAAAACTAAGAACTCTGGGCTCCAGATTTCCAAGATACCCAATGGCCCAGAGATTTTTTGGGGCCACTGAGGGACTTAGGGTCCATACTTCCTACCCTGCTGGTAGAGATCTTGAGAGAAGGAACCTGATCTATGTGGAGTATTGGGCAAGGCCAGTCTCCTTGGAAGATATAGTTTCTTGTACCCTTACTACTTTATGTCATCTCTCCAACTAACCCTTGTAGTTTCTGTCCCCATCCCCTCCAGGAGCTAACTGGCCAGCTGCCCCCTGAGTGCCCACTGAAGCCTGGTGAACGTCCTCAGTTGGTACGCCGGAGGCCCCCTGCAGCACGTGCCTACTCTCCACCACACCCGAACCCAGTACACCACTCCTTGTGTCCTGCTGAGGTAAGCAGTTGGGTGTGGGGAGCAGGATGGTGCTGGTGAGGGGCAGGGGCAAACAAGGGCAGAATGAGGGTTATGGCCAGGAGTGGGAGGAGCTAAGAAGGGAAAGAGTTTGAACTGGTGGGTTCCCCGTGCAGTATGGGACCCCCAATTTTGTCAAGACAAGTTTCCTATCTTTAGAAGATACATAGGCCCACCTTCTCATCCTGTCCCTTGAGGCAAACAGACTCCCCCAGGAAGAACAGGCCCCATTTCCAGTATAGATGGGCTCTGCCAACTTCCCGCTACTTGGGTAGTCATTTCTATGATTTAGCTCTGTTCCACCCCTCTTGGCTTGTGCAGGAGCTGGCTCTTGAGGCCCTGGAGCGTGAGGTGTCTGTGCAGCAGCAGATTGCAGCTGCTGCCCGCCGCCTGGCCCTGGCCCCTGACCTTACTGGAGAGCAGAGGCGGCGGCGGCGCCAAGTGCAGGTGGATGCCCTGCGGAGGCTGCACGAGCTGGAAGAGCAGCTCAGGGACTTCCGGGCCCGCCTTGGCCTCCCGGTGCTGCCACTCTCTGCAGGAGCATTAGTCAATGCCCAGGGTGTCTGCATGGGCACACGCCTTGCTCAGCTCAGTCAAGGTAAGCTAGGTCCCACATCCCTCCAGTGCGTGGGAAAATGACCCTGAGAATGGACTATGGCTTACACATATAGGAGTGGTGGAGTGGCTGAGTAGCCGTTGAAGGCAGAGAGGTGAGCAGGACTTACAAGGGGAATGCCCATCAAGGAGAATTGTAATGACCTGACTTGAGGTTCAGAGGACTTGAACAGTAAGCAACAGGAAGATGAATACTTAAGTTTATGGTGGTCTTGGATTCAGGTAAAGGTTGAACCTAAGCCGATCAGCATTCTAGAAAGTCATTCTACCATGGAGCTACATCCCCAGTCCTCTTCTTTATTTTTTGTTTTTGTTTTTTTGGTTTTTTTTTTTGGTTTTTTTTCGAGACAGGGTTTCTCTGTGGTGTTTTTGGAGCCTGTCCTGGAACTAGCTCTTGTAGACCAGACTGGTCTTGAACTTACAGAGATCCGCCTGCCTCTGCCTCCCAAGTGCTGGGATTAAAGGCATGCACCACCACCGCCCGGCCCTCTTCTTTATTTTTATTGTTTATTTATTTAGTTAGTTTTTCCTCGACAGGGTTTCTCTGTGTAGTCCTGACTGTCCTGGAACTTGCTCTGTACAGTAGACCAGGCTGGCCTCAACTCACAGAGATCCGCCTGCTTCTGCCTCCCAAATGCTGAGACTAAAGGCATGCGCCACTACTGCCTGTCTTTTGTTTTTATTTTTAAAAATAGTTATTCATTTTTATTTACATGTTTGTTTTTATTTTTCAAAATAGTTATTCATTTTTATTTACATGTTTGTTTTTATTTTTCAAAATAGTTATTCATTTTTATTTACATGTATGTGTTCCTACGTGAGTTTACATTTACCACACACATACAGGTGTTTGTGGAGGCTAGTGGCTTTGGAACCCTTGGAACTAGAGTTAGAGACTGTTGTGAAGTGCCTAGTGTAGGAACCGAACCCAGGTCCTCTGCAAGGGTAGCAAGTGTTCTTAACCTTGAGCCATCTCTCCAGCACATTGTTTTTTTTTGTTGTTGTTTTGTTTTGTTTTTGTTGTTGTTGTTGTTTTTTGTTTTAAGTTTTTTTCAAGACAGGGTTTCTTTGTGTAGACCTGGCTGTTCTGGAAATCACTCTGTAGACCAGGCTGGCCTCGAACTCACAGAGATCCATCTGCCTTTGTTGGGATTAAAGGCGTGCACCAGCACTGCTCGGCTCCCTTGTTTTGTTGTTGCTTTTTATTTTGAGACAGGATTTTGGTAAGTTGCCCAGGCTGGTCTTGAACTCATTCCATGTTCCAGACCGGCATTGAACTTATTTTACGCACGCGCGCGCGCACACACACACACACACACGCACACTGCTTCATAAAGCCTCTTAGGTAGCTGGAATTAGAGGTCTGTGTGTCTGGCAAAGATGGATTCTTCTTGGGGAGGCACCAGAATCAGGTAGCAGAAGGCAGTGCACACAGAGATGCTATCCAGCGGTGCAGGGGATGGAATTCAGACCTTGGAGTGACAGGGTGCCTTTCCCTTTCTCCCCTGTAGAGGATGTAGTTCTGCATTCGGAGAGCAGCTCCCTCTCAGAGTCAGGGGCCAGCCATGATAATGGTGAGAACTACCCCCCAGCCTGACTCACCCCTCCCGTGTCCTCTCAGAATATCTGTTGGTTCAGCCCCTCCTACTGTAGCTCTTCTTTAGCCATGCCCCATGCTCCCATGTGCCCTTAGTTTCACCTGTCTCCGCCTCCTCTGCCCTAGACCTTACAGCTCAGCTCCTACGTTTGCCTTGCTTCCTCTCTTAGCTTGTTGGTGCCCCCCTCCCTTAAACCTGCCCTGCTCCTTCCAGGCCCTCTCTCATTGAATTCTACCCTATTCTCCCTTCTACCCAGAGGACCCTCATAGCTGCTACTCTCTGAGCGCCCCTCACCACCAAAGGCCTGGGACCAGTTTCGGGCAGTATCCGGAGGGAGCCCTGAGCGGCGAGCCCCATGGAAACCTCCCCCTTCAGATATTTATGGGGACCTGAAGAGCCGGCGCAACTCTGTGGCCAGCCCCACCAGGTAAAGCGGAACCTTTTCCTCCTTTCCTGGGACTAGGAGTGGGATCCTGATCCTGGGCTGGCAGGAGGGCCTACTGGTGAGTGCGGTTTCTAACCTGGGTCCCGATGTGGGCCTGCCATCTCTGTCTAGCCCCACCCGCTCGCTGCCCAGGAGTGCCTCCAGTTTTGAGGGGCGAAGTGTGCCTGCCACCCCTGTCCTCACCCGGGGCACTGGCCCCCGGCTTTGCAAGTAAGGGGACTCTTGAGGGTGGGTCTGAGTATCAGAGGAGGAAACCTTTAGTTCGAACTGTAGATGTTGAATAGGAATTTCCAAAAGATGTGGGACATGGGCAACTGGGCTTTGAAAGGTGGCTTGAAGCTGGTGTGGGAATTGGAGGCAGAGGCGTGAGAGATTGAATATGGGCTTTCCTGCATTTTTGGGGATAAGTCATTTTCTTTCTCTGAATCTTTCCTTCCTCGTTTGTGAAGTGAGTGCCTTTGAGAGACACAGGTACAATGCATGTTGGGTAGAATGTATCAAATGCCTACTTTCTGCTAATAATCGGTAGCATTTGTGGTGGATAGCAACTCCTTTGTCATCCTAAGGTCTCCCTGAGGAGGTGCTATTATTTGCATTTTATAGGAGTGGAAACTGAGGCACAGAAAGGTTAATTAAGTAACTTGTGAGTAAACCAAAGTTCTCAAGTTTGGAGCCCATGCAAAGTTTTAAACTAATCAGCCTTGACACACCAAACTGTAACGTTCCTTAAGTCCTTAAATGCCTACTTTTCCCATGCTGTGAACAGAATCCCTGTCTTTTGGGGGCATGCTTCTGTGCATGGTGGGACAGTTGTTTGGGGCTGGTTCATAGACCTGGTGGGTTAGAGTTCAGAAAGCCTTTAGTTCCGGTCATAAGGCCTAGGGCTTCCTTCAGGAGGTAGAAAGGAGCCATGAGAATAGCCTTAGCAGGAGAATAGGAGCTGTGGGATCAGGAGGGTGCCTATGTATGTCCTTCCTTAGCTAGCCTTTCCGTCCCGTTCCCAGAAACATTTACTGTAAGAGCTGCGGCCCTATCCCGGTGAGCATTTCCATGCCCTACCCTCTGGCTTCCCGTCTGGGGCCAAATCTCAGTGGCCCTTACTCTGCTTAGTAGCTACATGCACACGATTTCTAATACTGGGCCTGTTTTAGAGATAGTGAAGGCTCAGAATGAGATGGGGCAGTCAGGGCACTCGTCATTTGTCTTCTTTTTCTGACCCTGCTCTTCTTACCGCACCTCTGTTCTCCAGACCAGAAGGCCTCCATTCTCGCCAGTGGTCGGGTAGTCAGGACTCACAGATGGGCTTTCCTCGGCCTGACCCTGCTTCAGATCGGGCCTCCCTCTTCACAGCTCGCACCCGCCGCAGCAATAGCTCTGAGGCCCTGCTGGTGGACCGGGCAGCTGCTGGGGGAGCAGGATCTCCACCTGCCCCCCTGGCTCCCCCTGCTGCTGGTCCCCCAGTCTGCAAGAGCAGTGAGGTGCTGTATGAGCGCCCCCAACCAGTCCCTGCCTTCTCCTCCCGCACCGCTGGTCCCCCAGACCCTCCTCGGGCTGCCCGACCTAGCTCAGCTGCCACTGCATCCCGTGGACCCCCCCGACTCCCACCTGTGTGTGGAGACTTCCTCTTGGACTATTCATTGGACCGGGGCTTGCCCCGTGGTGCTGGTGGGGCAGGTTGGGGGGATTTGCTGCCTGCTCCTGAAGTCCCAGGACCCCTTTCCCGCAGAGATGGGCTCCTTGCCATGCTCCCTGGTCCTCCACCCATATATGCAGCTGATGGCAGCAGCCCCCTTCTCCGCAGCAAAGACCCCAACACCCGTGCCATTCGTTCCAGGCCCTGTGGCTTGCCCCCAGAAGCTGTGGAGGGTCTGGAAGTGCATCCAAACCCATTACTCTGGATGCCGCCACCCACCCGGCTACCTCCAGCTGGTGAGCGAGGCGGCCATAAGAACCTTGCCCTGGAGGGGCTCCGGGACTGGTACATCCGGAATTCGGGACTGGCCATGGGGCCCCAGCGCCGACCTGTGCTTCCACATGTGGGCCCAACACACGCACCCTTCCTCCATGCCCGCTGCTATGAAGTGGGCCAGGCACTATATGGTCCTCCCAGCCAGGCACCGCTCCCGCACTCGAGGAGTTTCACAGCACCCCCTGTCTCCGGCAGGTATGGGGGTGCTTTTGCTGATGGGTAGGGGTATTGATTGAGATGCTGAATGTATCCTGACCAGGGAGCACTTTGTCAAGATAGCTGATGAGTGGGACCACAAGGAAACTAGCTGCGGTCTTGGCATGGGGTCACTTTATCAGACATGACCTGCATTAGTTCTTAGGGTCCTGGTGAGGGGGATCTTGTATGTTGGTAGCAGGAGTTCTTTCCCAAGCTTTAGAAGGATTCTATTCTATGTATTCTCCCTAGTACATGACAGCTGGCAGTGAGCCTTGAAGTCAGGGTGCTGGGAAGAAGGGACATACGTGCTCCATGGCTTTCTCTTCTAAACTCCATACCCCATGCTTAAGAGCCTGAAGGTGCTGTCCTGCGCCTGTCTCCACCTCTTTAACAAGCCTCTTTTCCTCTCTCTGTGTGTCTTGTCTGTCTCTTCCTCTCTTCCCTTCCGTTCCCTTCCCTTCCCTGTCTTCCGGATTCCTGCTGTCCTTTCTAAAGATACTACACGGACTTCCTGTATCCCCCGGAGCTGAGCGCTCGTTTAAGTGACCTGACGCTAGAGGGGGAACAGTCTTCCAGTTCTGATCCCCAGACCCCAGGGACATTGGTCTGACCCTTCCTGATAAGCCTCTTGTTGGTCTGGACATAGTCCAGTCTGGGGAACATACAGTCAACCTCGCTGAGCCCTGGGATGTGGTTGCTCTTGGTTCTGAGGGACAACTGCTTGATCTCACAGGACCCCTGGCTTCTTTGGGGCCCAGAAGGATGTCTGATACTCCTGCATCTCTTCTCATCCTGTGCTGGGGGACTGGAGGGCCCCAGCTAGCTTCAAAGAGGGGGATAATGGTTTGGGGACTATGCCCCTTCCTCCATTTCTGTTTACAGTTGTGATTTAGTATTCACTGTCTTTGCCCAACACTAGGTATTTTATAAAAGGGAAGCTGTGAGCTCAGTCCTGGTTGGGTTCATTCCTGTCCCTATGCCCAGCCTGTTCCATTCAGGAGCCACCACCCCACCTCAACAAAATGGACCATATAGAGTCTCGGGGGTTAAGAGACTGCTATGAAGAGAACTCCCTGCCTTCTCCCACTAGAGTTCTTGGACAGATGGGCTCCTGTCCACATTTGGAAGGACGGAAGTCTAGGTGGGGTGCCTGAAGGAGCTGTTGTCTCCGTCTCTGCCCGTGGCCTCTGTGCTGACCTTCCCCGGTCAGGAGGTTATACAAGAGTGTGTCAAGAAGCAGAGCCATTTGAGTATGTCCCATCCTGGGATGCTGCAGTGGTTAAACCTGGCAACTGGTCGATGCCAGCAAAACCCTCAGGTGACATCTGGCCATGGGCCACAGGCCACATCATGTCCTCCTTGACATTCCTCTATTTACCACTTTTTAAACAAATCCACATAAGCTGTGTTTTCTATATTGTGTGTGACTTTCTGGAACTGGGGGTTCCCCTACCCCCTTTACCTGGTGTTAAATTTTCTTTTTGTATCAATGGATCTGGGCCCAAGACACTACTCACACTGGAAGGGGATTTCTATAATAAATGTATAAACTGAACCGCTGGATTGTTTCTTTGTCTGCTTCATCACAGGAACCCACACCTCTAGTTAAGACCAGATTATATGTATATATTTATTAGACAGGACAGGGACCCACTGTGTAGCCCTGGCTGGCCTGGAACTCACTTGTAGACCACATTGGCCTTGTACTCAGAGATCCATCTATACTGGCATAAAGGGCATGTACAACCACGGCCAGTCAGAAAACAAAATATTCTTGCCGGGCGATGGTGGCACATGCCTTTAATCCCAGCACTCGAGAGGCAGAGGCAGGCAGATCTCTGTGAGTTCGAGACCAGCCTGGTCTACAGAGCTAGTTCCAGGACAGGCTCCAAAGCCACAGAGAAACCCTGTCTCGAAAAAAAAAAGCATTCTTATGGGGAGAAAAAACACTGGAAATAGCTTACAATAGTGTCATGTGTTTTGTCTTCTTGAGCTAGATTGTATGTAGCCAGGGCTGGCCACAACTCCTAGTCCCCTTGCTCCTCACTGCTGGGATTCCCGGCGTCACAATGTCCAGCTAACATACATGTGTTGTCTTCACTTGCTTTGTGAGATGGGGCAGCTTCTTTGTCTCCCTGCACTTATACTCCTGATCTACTTATAAGAAGAGAATATCCAAAATGATAGTACCTATTTCTACGTCCCTGTGTTTTAATTAATGTTAATTCAGAGGCAGCAGGCTTGAGGGCCAAAGAAGTCACCTTTTCAGCACAAATATTTAAACCCAGTCAGGTATGGTCCAGCAGAACTGAAGACAGCCACTGGGTTGTTCATTGAAAGGTACAAGAACTTCACACAGGAGGCCAAACAAGCATGAGATTCACCGACTTTATTGTTGCAGGAACACTAATACATGTGCTCCATTGCCAGTGGGGGCTATTGCTAGCTAGCCCCATACCTTGGTCCTCAATACTAGGAACATTGTGGGGAAGGGAGAAAACCTCTACATAGAGTTGGAGGGAAGCTATTGGGTCTGGGGAGGGTTAGGGTCATCTGGGTTCAATGGGGTGAGGACTGAGGACACTTGGGATTTAAGCTCAAGATTTGGCCACGTCTTAACCTGGGTTCTAAGCCAGATGGGGGGAGGGTCTGAAAAATCCTTAGTTTAGAGCTCAAGAGTTGGGAATGTCCTGCCCCAAGCCCTAGCTTTGAAGTATGGAAGACCAGTCTCAGACTGGGGTTAGGGGAGTATCTCTTGGTCCAGTTTTGAGATTGGCTATGGATGCTCTGGCTTAAAAAAACCCAGTTTCGCCGGGCGGTGGTGGCGCACGCCTTTAATCCCAGCACTTGGGAGGCAGAGGCAGGCGGATCTCTGTGAGTTCGAGACCAGCCTGGTCTACAAGAGCTAGTTCCAGGACAGGCTCCAAAGCCACAGAGAAACCCTGTCTCGAAAAGCCAAAAAAAAAAAAAAAACCCAGTTTCAAGGCTCGATGTAGGTCACTGAGTCTCAAAATCAGGACTGAAGACTTTAGTCCCTAGGTAACGGGCTGGGGGGGTAAGAGATGACTAGTTTAGGGTTGGAGTAAGCAGTCACAGGTGTCTTTTATTTTTTGCAGGCCAGAGGGCTCTAGGCTCCTATTTTAATGGCTGAGAAAAGGGTCCATATTGGGTATGGGGTGGGGGGCCGTCTAGATCCAGGATGTAGATGCCAGGGTCCTAGGATCCAGCTTCCTGCTCTTGTCCCAGTGCCTCTAGGAGCAGCCCCATTGGCGTCCGCTTTAGACCAATGCTCTCGATCTTGTTCTCAATCTTGTTTTTAAGGTTTCTCAGGCGCAGTGAAGCATGCAGCAGGATCACTGTGGGCAATACCAAGAGAGGGTCAAGGGCCTTAGCTTGCAGCCTACAATGCGGAATTTACCCAGAGGCAGGCTAGCCTGCTATGGGAGATGTGGCCAGGAAGAACATCCCAGTAAATTAGGACTAGGACAGTTTAAGGCACTTAACAAGGGAAAACCCAAAAAAAGGTAATAAAGAGAGCTCGGGAAGACAGTTATTGGAGACATGTATATCCTTCAGGGTTTCCAGTCCCCTCTTAGACCAGGAACCAGTGCGGGGCAGGCCTAGTGTTCAAGCATGAGCAGTCCATTTTCCCAGCTAAGACAGGGAGAGTAGAGACTCACAAAGCACCGGGGTTGTGATGCAGAGCAGGAAGGTGAAAGCGCCGCCCGCGGCCCCGACAATGAGGAGGCTTATGGTAAGCACTGCAGCCAGGCAGGCAGCAGGGTGGCTGCGACGGCAGCGGCGCACAGCTGCACGGGTTTCAGCAGCCCACACTAGCACACCGAGGGCCACCACCACTACCAGTGCACTCAGGAGGGTGTGCAGTGGACGAATGTACCTGCAGGAACAAGGGCACTCAGCTAACCTCACCGTCCACCTGATCCTGGACCCCAAGAGTTTGTTTCCTGTCTCTGGAACCGGCATCCCGACAGATAGTCTCACCAGGCCTGTCTCCAATAAGTCCAGCCTCTAGGGGTTCCTGGATCTCTGGATTCCTCGGTACTACAGTCCTATAGGGACCCCACATACTGCCAGAGGTCCTGGGTTCCCAGCACTTCTCTGGTCTTTGACTTTAGACCTGCAGGGTTTCTAGCATTCCCAGGTCCGCTCCCACATTCCTCTATGACCTTAACCCATGCAGCTCCCTCGCCAAGGCCTTTAGTCAATACATATTTCTCCTTGCAAGGCTGGGCACCTTCCAGGTGTCATTTCATTCAAAAGGTCCTCCACTACCCCATTTTTATATAGAGCCACCCTCCCACAGTTGCTTGAACCTATCCTTGGTTTAAGTCCCAGGCTTAAGCTCTCTTCTAGACTGTCCTCTTTGGCTTCCAGCTTCGCAACACTGGATGGTCACTCTGGGCCCAATATCAGTAGGTTTTTTATAAACTCACCTCCCAAACCGTCTTTACTACACCCCCACCTCTGTATTAAACCCTCCAGGGCTCCGCAATCTGCCCCATCATTCACATCACTGAACCTCTTCGGTACTCTCTCATCCTTCATATCAGGCCTTCTTTAAATCCGGGGCCACCTCCTAGCCCACATTCCTCTTCATTCTCCCCTCCCCCCTTTTCCTACCCAGGTCTTCCCTCAACCCCTCCACCCCCAACCCTCCTTTTAACAAAGACCTCCCTCCTTCAAATCCTTCCAATCATGCCCCTCAGACCTTCCTTTCCTACCGAATTCGCCCTTCCCAGCCTAGCATTTCCCCTTATGTTCCCCTCTCCTCATTCTCAAAGGCCCGCAAGTCCACCCCACTTCCCGCTCGTATCTTCAGCCAATCACCACCTCTCTCCCTCACCCGGCCACAGCGAGACTGATGCCGAAGCAGAGAAGGTAATTAGTTTGGTAGTAGAGAAGATTGTTGATGACGCGGTGACACCATCGTTGTGGATCGCCTGGATCAGGAGCCGCCAGACGCGCAGACCCCAAAACAAAGTCGTCTAGGGCGCGCAGCGGTGGTAGCCGCACCACCGACATCCTGCGGGTTGCTGGACCAGCCTGAAGGGCGGCGAGACTACAACAACCGTTACCCCTCACGGCACCGCGAGGCACATTGGGAAATAGAGTCTTGGGGGGGCGATGACTAGCAACGTAGGCTACTGCGCAGCTGCAGCTATGAACGTGGCCAGAAACCACCAACTATGGTAGCAGAGACTGCTGGGAAACCAAGCTTCGCCACGCGGCGGAGAAGCTCAAAACTTCTCTTCATCCCTGGGCGGGGCACCACGCCGGACTGGGCAAGCTGTGCGTTGAGTGAGTCAACGCTGAGCGGACTAATAAGAATAGGAAGTCAAGTCCCAAACTGGATTCCACTTCCTTCCTGTCAGGAGCCTAGGTCACAGAGCTCCTGGAAAAGTATGCCCCCCACCTTGAGGTCAAGTCATAAATGCCATTTAAAAGCCTTTTATTGATATACATCACAGAGGCTATCTCTCCTGGTAACCTTTTTTAAATCCCCAGGTTGGATTACGACAATCCCTTTGGGTCCCTGTGAGTGTTTTCCAGACTAGGTGGCCCAGGCAATCTGTCCTTGGCCTTCAGCACACTCACAAAAAAAGTGCTGGGGGAAGCCAGCTGTTTCTTTAGATACAGCTGTGCTTGAATGGAGAGTGGGAGGCCTCCTTGATGCTTGCTAGCTGCTTCAACACCCTCAAGACTCAGATTGGCCATCTGCTACTGCAGGTTCCTAGTGTAGCTGCCAGGGCTCTTAAAAGTCATCGTCGTCACAGATGTCAAGGTACACATCAAAGGCCTCTCGGTTGCAGTTTCCATCAGGCGTGAAGACATATTTGTGGAAGGTCCCGTCTACGCAGATGGCTAGAAGGTTGAGGTGTTATGAAAGGTTAGGAGATGCTCCAGCCACACACTTTCGTTCCCTCATGTCCCACCAGGGCTCATGGGCTAACGCCAGGCTTTTGCCCAAGTGCCACATCCCTTACTAATTCTGAGGCTGAGCCCACACATTCCAGTTTCCTCCAGCTTCGGAAAACCCTTACATTCTTTTAGGTCCAACCTGCCGTCCTTTGCCTGTGTAGTACCCCAAGTCAAGGGGGCTACTGTCACTCACCAATTACAGAGTTGACATTCTTGGAGGTGTTCCGACCAAAGGCGCAGATGCATGCTGACTCAGCAGGCACGGTAAAGCTGGCCAGGCTCCACTGGGAATCCACGTACTGCCCAATCATAGGCCCAACCTTGCCCACACGAGCCAGCCTGTAGGCAGCACTTGGTAAGTCTAGGTACGGCACATGGCCAGGGGGACTGGGACAACACAGGATAGGGCCAAGATACTCACGCAGAGCGCCGGTTGAGACGGGTGTCTTTAAGAGCAAAGATGTGGACAGTGCCCTTGTCACTGGAAGCACAGAGGAAGGAGGAGTTGTGGCTGAAGTTAATGCTGCAAGACAAACCGGCAATGATGCCCAACATGCTGACTTGTGAGGGAGGGCTCGTGCTGTAAGGCTACCAGCCCACACATAACACTGTGCTCACCAATACAGGGTGGCAGGGTCCGTGCCTCTTCGAAGCTCCACCAGTTTTTCCTTGGACTGCGTGTCAAACAGACGAATTAGGGTACCCTTCTGGGAGGCCGACGCCACCACAGTGCCGGGCTGGTTCAGGGACACACAGGCCACATCACTCTGATGCGCGTTAATGGTCAATGGAGCTGAGGAAGTGCCAGGCTTGGTGCTTGCCAGATCCTGGAGGTGGGGACAGTTTGGGCTTGGGGTGACATGGAGGAAAAGGGACCACAAGTTCACCAAGAGAGACAGTCCACCCACCTCTCTCTCCGCCCTTGCCCACTGCTCACCACAAGTTGCAGACTTCCACACTTGTGTCCAGGAAACACAAGCAGTTGCTTCTCCAGGCTTGGGCAGAGGTCGCACAGCCCTAAGTTGTGAGGATGAAGAAGGGATGGGCAGGTGAAGAGGAGGCCATGGGAAAGCTGAGTCTCAGAATAGATAGAGCTGGACCAGTAAGGGCCAGACTTTAACCCTCTGTGATCTATCACCCATAGCAACCCCACACGGGTAGCTTTGCATTAAATTAAGCTCCACTCTCCATGGTCTGAAAAGGCTCTCAGAAGTTGCCAGGAAATCATCAGAGGCCCAGGGCTTGCTGATACACTTGCCCATGTCCTCACGGAGTGCTTTATGTTGTCACGTGGGGGCAGGACCAGGGGTAAGGATACGGTCGGACTAAAAGGGCTGCATCTCTTGCATAAAGCCTCTCCCCCAGCATCTGAGTATATGTCTCTTCTTTCATTGCCTCCTTTTGGCCTCTTCCACGGCCCCATATCCTTACACCTTGGATATCTGGGTCCTCTCACCCTTGGGGTTGTCCCGAGTATCAAATTCAAATAGCTTTCGAGGATTGTCCGGGAAGGAGTACACATAGATGCGGTTCCTCAGCACGATCACAATCCTGCAGACGACATCACACAGAACACAGCAGGCCATGAGGAAAGGGAAACTGCCAGAGTGGGGTTGGGAGCCCTCTTACTTGCTATGGGAACCTCCTGCCCCCCACCCCAGTCTTCACCAAGCTCACTTGTCATAGCGCATGCGCACAGCCAGCACTGGCTTGGTAAAGGTGAACTCCAGCACCAGTTTGTCCTTGGAGTCCTTGCCTTCTTGGGCGTCATCCCAGATGAGCACTGAGAAGCAGAGGGGTAGGTTGGTGAGACCAAGGTTTAGGCTAAGAGGTGACTGTGACGCGGGGCCCAGCCTTACCCCTGGGCACGCAACCCCGAGCTTCACCTTTCACTAAATTTTCAATGTGAGCCTCACAGAGCAGGAACACTTTGGGACAAGATTCCAAAGAAAACACATTCTAGAACAGTTAAGCTCATTTGGAGATAAGGAAGTCAAAGTTCAAATGAGCTGGGTATGGTCAAAGACCTTAGAGCACAGGAAGAAACAGGTAAGGGATTCAGACCCAGGCCCACAACTTTCCTCTGGAACTACTTCGGTCTTCAGGATCCAGTCCATATCCTCAGGAGATTTTGTGATGATTTCTAGGGTTCTATGACTCATCTATGATACCTCTTGCCATATCATAGATCAACAAGAGAAAAAAAAACTTAAAACAAGGTGGTGCTTGAGGGTCAAGCCAAGAGGGTATAGGAGAGATGATTCCAAGATTTGGATACCTATTAATTATGTGATCTTAAGGGTCTTCATCAGTAAAAATGGGGCTAAGGAGGCTGGGGGTATGGCTTAGTACCAGAACGTGCAAAGCTCTGGGTTCCATCCATCGCACAACAAAAATGGGGAGAAGGGCTAATGGTATTTCCTACCACACAGAATTAGTTGGGCATGGTAGGGCACACCTTTAATCCCATCAGACAGAGGCAGGAGATCTCTGTGAGTTTGAATCCATCCTGGTCTACATAGAGTTCTAGAAAGTCAGGGCTATATAGAGCGCCTATCTCTAAAAACCAAAAGAACGAAAAGCCTACAAAATTAAATGAGCTAATGTATGTAAAGCCAGGTGTGAAGGCGTTAGCCTATAATCCTGGCACTAGGGAGGTGGAGAACAATTCAAGGTCATACTTGGCTACAGCAGACCTTATTTCAAATTAATGTTTGTATGTAAAGTGCTTAAAATAACGATTAGGCTAGGCCGGACGCTTGTAATCCCAGCACTCGGGAGGCAGAGGCAGGTGGATCTCTGTGAGTTCAAGGGCAGCCTGGCCAACAGAGCGATTTCCAGAACTACCTCCAAAGCTACAGAGAAACCCTGTCTTGAAAAAAAAAACAAAGGAAATAAATAATGATTAGGCTCTCAGTAAGTGCTCCATTGGTAAGACTGTGGCAAATAGGAGACAGACAAGAAGTGGCTTTGAGCCGGGCGGGTGGCGCACGCCTTTAATCCCAGCACTCGGGAGGCAGAGGCAGGCGGATCTCTGTGAGTTCGAGACCAGCCTGGTCTACAAGAGCTAGTTCCAGGACAGGCTCCAAAGCCACAGAGAAACCCTGTCTCGAAAAACCAGAAGGAAAAAAGCAGTGGCCTTGCTGTTTTTATAGTGTTTTGGATGGAACTGAGGACCTTGAGTATACCAGGCAAGTGTTCTACCACAGAGCTACACCTCCAGTCCAAGAAATGTTTCCTAAAGAAAAAGACTAAAGCTATGTGTAGAGCACACCTTTAATCTCCACAGTCTGTGCATTTGAAACCAGCCTTGTCAAAAAAGAACTACACAGTGAGGCCTTGTCTCACTAAATAACAGAGCAAACATTTCAAGCTTACAAACTGTGCCTCACTGTGGGACTCAGGTGCTGACAATGTCATCTGCCCAAGCCTCAGGGTGTTTGTGGGAAGTAAGGAATTTGGGGAATCTGGGTCAAGTATGGGATGAAAGCACTTACCGGAGATCTCTGAGAACTTGGGGCTGCTCCCACCGCCTACCAGGGCCAGCAGGTTGGATCGGTGCAGCATCTCTACCAGGCCCACGCTGCCTACCTGCTCGTGGTCTGCACAGGGACCAGAGTGTCAGTAGAGGTAGATGCCAATGCCCATATCAGCCTTTCTGCCCATTGTCCCACCTCTCCTGCCACTCACCCAGATGCCCCTTCTCCATCAGTGGCTCCACATTATAGATACGTACGCCTGTCTCCATGGCACAGCAAAAGCAACCTGCGGATGAAAGGAATCTGTCTGCCTCAAACTTGTAGGGCTCGCAGCCATCTCTGACCCTTCTTTCCCATCCTTCCCACAAAGATACAATCACAAGCTTACTTTGGTCTTGGTTGAAATGGAGGCTGGTCACACCTCGAAGTGGCGGCTGAGACATGGTGCAGGACCGCTTCCCTAGGCACAAAAATGACAGCGTTGCGAAGAGTTCTCGAGTGTCCTCTCTTAAGTCCTACAACTTCTGTCCCCGGAACGATTTCTTCTTCCTCGCCACTTTGTCTATTTTGTTTTGAGATAGGGTCTTGCTACGTAGCCCTGGCTGTCCTGGTACTCCCTAGGTA